TTTAATCTTAGAGATGTATCCATGCTATGAAGAAGAACATGAGAAATCTTCTCCTTTCAAGCTATGTCAAATGACACCAGACTTGCACTGTGAACAACAGAACGTGTATGAGGCTGAGCAGGAGCCAGACAGTCACTCTTTTACTGAGATGTATGTGCACACATCTGTTGTAAGACCAGCCTGGACTGACAGACTGCTGTGCTCAGGCAGATCAGCACAGCAAGAAACAAAATGAGCAACAATCATTGCAGGAATAGTATTGGTTTTGGCGTTTTTTTAAAATTAAAAAACAAAACATAACAAAAACCCAAACAAACAGAATAAAAACAACAAAAAAATCCTGAAAGCAAAACACAACATATCTGCAGCCAATCTAATTGTCAGAAAGCACATTTTGAGTTTTCAACTTCTCACTCAAGTGCAAAAGAAAGAAAGAAATAACATTAGTCATTAAACATGTTCAAGTATTACAGAAGTACAACAGTAAAATAGGCATTAAACTCCAAAATCAGCATCGGACACAACTGAAGCTATTTTTTATTTTACCATCAGCTTCTAGCTGTCCCTTCATATCTACCAGCCTGACTAAAGAGAATTTAAATATTTAAACTTAACCTCTGTCTCCATACAGTGCTGCACAACATCTGCTACTTTAAGAGAAACACTCAGAACTGCCTGGTCATGATAACTGAGCTATCCCTTGAGTGCAAAGATGTCCTTTCAGCTGGAGCTGGGACACAGCAGAATGATAATCAAGACAGTCTTGTGGTGATCCCACATGTGCACTACTTATTCTCAGAACAGATGTCATCATTCTCTAAAAATTCCAACTAGCTCACAAAGTAATATTAACTCAGTGATTAAAATCAACTTTTCAAAATCTATTTGAGTAATACAAATCATGGAGCTTCTGTGGATATAAAAGCATGTCTGTTCAGAACATAGCAGAAGCTGTATTTGAAGAGACTATAACAGTAATCTGTCTGTACTTACCATTTAGCCTTTTTTCTTTAAAAAAGTAATTAACCAGCCATTTACATATGCAAAAATTCTCTCTTCATATGATCACTATAGATTCATATAATGGTTTGGGCTGGAAAAGACCTTAAAGAGCATCTAGTTCCAGCCTCTGCAATGGGCAGGGACATCTTCCACTAGACCAGGTTGCTGAAGGTCCCATCCACACTGGCCTTGAACACTGCCAGGGATGGGGCATCCACAGCTTCTCTGAGCAGCCTCTTCAGTGTCTCACCACTCTCACAGCAAGGAATTTCTTCCCTATATCTAAATTCAGTTTAAAGCCATTCCCCTTTGCCCTGAAACTCCATGCCCTTGTAGAATGTCTCTCTCCAACTCTCTAGTAACCACCTTTAGGCTCTGGGAGGCTGCTCTAAGGTCTTCCCAGGGCCTGAAGAAATCAACAGAAAGGAGTACAGATTGCAAATTCTCTCAAACTAGACCTACAGTAAAATATAATGGTTGTTTCTCCCTCTGTAAATTTGAGAAAAAGCCCTATGATTTTAGCAATAGAATGAACTTTAAAATGTGTGTTTAATTGAGGCAATTGCATAACACTCATGTTCTAAAAAATATTATAAAACAATCTTGCAGCTTTTGGTAATTACTGTTAAAGATGCCAAAGCCTGGCTTGAAATATGGCAGGGTCTTTTTTGTTTTTTCCTAATCTGCTGTGACTGGATGACAAAAACCTAAGCTCAGTCTCTTAAAAAGAAAAAAAAAACAAAACAACTTGCAAGTCTTCCTAAATTTCAGTAGTTTTAAATAATGTAGCATGAAACCTTCCTATTCAATAAACTGCTATACAGTAGCATGTTCTTACTACTGTCTTTGAAAAAAGTATGACGGATTTAAATAAAGTTTGGGTGGAGGATTTTTTTTTGTTTTGTCTTTTGTTTTTTTAATAAGTTGAGAACGGAGAAGTCCTTTGGAGGAGCACTTCCATGGTTCTCATTTTGTGAGGTATGCCTTTGTGTTTTGTTGGGCCTTCCACTGAAAACTTATTGAATGCAAACTCATCAGAATCAGTAAACATGTCTGCTCTGATTTTTCAGTTGAAACTCGTTCCAAAATTACATCTAACTGGATCCAAAATCTCCTCGGAAAATTATTTTAATTACAATAGGAACAGAGTTGTAACTAGGGGATAAATATGTCACAATTCACCTGGCTGAACAGATTGCCCCTCTACTGATGGACAAGCAAGTGAGAAAATCAGCAAATGAGTGCATCACCTCTTATTATTTCAGAAAACTCATTAGTTGTGATGCAGCAACAGTATGTTCACAATTTTTTAAGAACTTCAGGGAACTAGGCAAATGCATCCACACACAAAACTATTTTTCATCACATTCTGTATGAAAAGGTGCTTCTGATCTAGCCACTGATCTGAGCTACAACAGGAATTACACTGGACTGAGAGGCTGGGAAATAGAGCTAACTTTGGTTCAATCTGTTTAATTTCCCTTCCATTTCTGTTCAGAAAATAGTTCCAGTTTGCAACCCTGCTTAAAGAAAATAATTAGTTAATCCACAAACTAGCTTATAAACACTGAGGTAGGTGCAGGTTGTGATGAATTAAATTAGCTGTAAAAGAACAACCTAAGATACTTCAGGCAGCAGCACCGTAACAGCATGGAGTCTGACACTGTCTGCAAAAGCCCAGAGAGCTCCAGCCCAGATGCAACATCCAGTTAAAAATCAAACAGCTGTAGAGATGGAATGATCCCCTCTGCCTTAACACAGAAGGCTCAACACTGAAGCTCAGGAACTGCTTGAGGAGTTCTTAGGTCATCCACGACATCAACAACAGAAGCAGGAGCTACAGAACACCCACTTCAACCATGCATTTTCAAGCCTGTGCAGAACTCACTGTTTTAGGCAAGCAGGTGTACAGAAGCCAACCCAGCTTGAAAGCAGCAGCAGCAAAACTGTGTCTTCATTGTAATTGCAGCTTGCATACAAAGACTCCAAAGGAGCCTTTTGCTAGCCACATCCTGACTGTCTGCATTTCCCCATGCAAATTAATAACTATAAATTTTGGGAGAGTTACAGATTTCTTGCACATGTAACAGTAGAGCTTGCTTGTATCTTGCTTCCAACAAAATAAAGCTTTTTTTGTATTTACAGATAATATGAAAATAATGCAAAACAAGTCCAGTTTAAACTGCCATCAGCCTAAATAGGGCATATAAAAGAGTTATACAAACAAAAGAAATTCAAAGAAGAGCAACACAAGCACCAGCAGCACCCACCATTCTTTATTCCTCTGATTTACTGCTGCCAAATCTGACATAAAAACTTCTAAAATACACACAGTCCACACAAATAGTGAAGAACACTGTGTATTTATCTTCTATATTCTGGTTCTCTTTGGGTGGGCATTATCACATCCAGCCTGCACTGCTGTATCTCCCAAACCATGAAAGCATTACACTGTATTCTTACCCTAGAAGTAAGTCACCAGTGATGACAAGATACATATTTTTACTTAACTCTAGGTGCATGCCGTCAACTGTACAAATAAGCATATCAATGGCTGTACCTATTCCACATAGTTAAGACCAGGGGGCAGCAATTCTGTCAAACACTAACCTAACAGGTTGATTTTTGACAAATCTATCAGCGGCCAGGGCTGAGTTACAAGAGAAAAGAAAAACCAAACCAACTGCAATTATGGAAAAGTTACAAATGTTAATCTAGGTTGCATAATAAAAATAAGATACATTATTTTAAACGTGCAGTTACAATCACTCTAGTTAGTTGTTGCAGACTGACTAATCTAATAGCACTGTTACAATTTTGAACATAGTTTTTCTATTAAAACTTTAGCTGATCTGAATCCTGTGGAATTGTATTTCCATACCCAAGACTATCAGGCAAACACCATAATTAAATAATTAATACTTCTTCCTTGCATACCAAATGTTTTGCTCATGCCAACACATTCAGCAGAACTGAAAGACTCTATTAAATCCATCTCCTAGATACGTGCTGGCTCCTGAAGTATCGACAAATACTTGATGAACCAAGTGTATAATCCAAAACAACAACTAACTGCAACCTATGCAACTATAGCAAAAATCTGTCTTCTTTCAACATCATTATGTTTGTACCTTCAAGCAAGAACAGGGCAAGAGAAGAGCTGTACACTGTCTTGTTTTAAAGTCATTTGGAAGACATTTCCTCATAACCACTACCCTAGCCCATAGAAAATCACTCTGAAACCTCAAATAGGAAGCAGCAGACTGATATTCCTTGGAAACCTGCTCTGGAAGTTTACCCATTTTCACGCTTCTATTTCTTGACAGCAGATCAGGGTGAACATTTAAATGACGCTCATAACAAGGATGAAAAAACCCTAGCACTGAGGCTTCAAGGCTGAAGTGCTGAGACTGTATAATCTCTTCTGCTGCATTATTTTGCTCCTCTCCTTCCACCAATTCTGTTTTCATACTATTTCCCTCACTCCACGTTCATCTCCTCATCCTTACCTCATTTCTTAAACTGAGTCTCCCTTGGCAGATTTCTGCAGTCAGAGTTCTGCACTAATACTTGATGTACCGAGTGGCTGGGGAAAACCTATACAAACGCTCCCAAAAAAAACTCACCCTTCATCTTTTTTCTAAAAGTCCCAACATTCACGCATTTTTTATACTGTAACAACTGACAACACTGAAAAAACACCAAGAAGTACCACAGCAACATTTAAGTTCAGACAACTGTTTTACGCAGTAATCTTTGAGACGCCAGAGAAGGAAAGCTTTCACTAACTAGCTCAACGTAAGGGCAAAGTCCCACAATTAAAAGACCAGATTACATGCATACCAACGCCTCTGGCTCCGGTGGATTAGGGCGGGTGGTGCTGCCCCGTCCCTGATGCTCTCTCAAAGGCATTAAAAAAAAAAAAAAAAATAAGGAACAAAAAAAAGAGAAAAAAGGATAAAAAACAGGGGATAGGGTGTTGGGTGTGGACGATTTACCTCTTCCAGCAGCGTGACCGTGTTCCTGCAGTTCTGCAAGCGCGTGGTGAAGCTGGAGGTGGTCGGGGAGTTGTAATCCTCTGTGGTCTCGGCGATGAACTCCGACACGGTGATCTGGTCCGGCATGATCCTGCCCCACCGGTAAAGCCCAGGAGAAGCCGGGCACACAGATCCGGAGAGAGGGGAAGCCCAGTTCCGAGGGGAAAGGTGGGGGGGGGTGGAAAAATAATAAAACGAAAGAAAAAAAAAAAAGGGCAGAGGGAAGAAGATGTTAACAGCCAGCAGAGACCCGCAGCATCAAAGCACCGGAGCCGCAGAGGGAGGCTGAGGCTTCGCCCGCTACATCCAGCCTTTCCCCAGCCGCCCCCTCCTCCTCCGGGCAGGAGGTGAAGGAGGAGAGGCCCCCGCACGGCGCCCCTCGCTCGGCCCCGCCGGTGGGG